GTCTGAAAAAATAATGACTTGATATAATCGGTGATGGGGTTCAAACTACAATGATGTACGGCACATGTTGGTACAGTATTGGACAAGGCACGACAACCCAGGCGAGGAGAGATCAGCAGAAGACAATTGTGAAATGAATTTTATCCCAGTTGGTAGTACGTCCATTGTTCAATCGATGAACACAAGTGTTAACAATTAAACCATTCAAAGAAAATTGATCACATACATACAGAAAGACTACGAAAAAATAATCAAAAAACATCTGTCAAAACAAGATGTACTCAACTGGGTCAATTGTATGTGGGATTCTGTCTCCACGGATGTGATGATACAATCTTTCTGGTCACAATGATGATATGATTTCCAAGAAAATTATACACAAAGATGATAAAGAGATACAGAACAAAGCCGTTGGATTGATATCGGCAAAGAGGAAGAAAAGATGATGCCGATTTGAACTTTAAAATCGACAAAGATGGAAATGAGCACACAATCACTAGCTGTAGAAAACAATTTTTATTAATTACGCAAATTCAATGCAATTTTATATGTATAATTTCCATGACTTTAACGTACAAATTAAGCGTCGCAGTCTTCAGCTTCACTGGAAGACATCGCTTTCCACTCACTCCCGCTTTTAATTTTTGCAAGTATTTCTACTCAATCTGATAAAATGGAGACAAGAATACGTCATAGCTTCAAGAATAAAAACAAATGATTTCAGTGTCAGTAACAATGTGAGAGTAAAATATAACGGTAGGAGTTCAACGTACAAAGCAAAAATTATAAAAATGCCTGGTAAGTGTATAGTTTTATTTCAAGTATATTATACGATTATCGGTTCTATTAAACAGAAATTTGTCTTTACTCTTGGAAATTTAATTTAGATGTACCCCTGATAATATAGTTTTTCACCCAGTATTTATATGGCAAAAGAAACCACCTCTCTGCAAAATGTGTTAAATGTGAGTTACATAATATTTATTTCATGATTTTTTTTAACAATACATTTGTTTGATTTACAGAGCTCAAAATGTAGAAACTGACTGGAAATCAGACGTGGACAAGGAAGAATCAACTGCTCATAGCATCTAGGACTCGACCACTGCAGACTACACAAAGCTGACTGCCATCATGCTAAGCAGTGATTTTGACAGACGTAGATGACCTCCCATGGCACTACAAGAACTTGGCGAAGGCATTTTGAAAGTTCTATCGCAGCACAAGAATCATTTCACATGACAATCGTCGCAATGCTGTCAAAAATATTAAAAAAATCAAGAGGACATGAAATCTGTCATTATCGGCATTAAACAGCAACTTGCACTGCGACGCGACTACCAAATACGAAAGCAGGCGATATTACAACATGCATCCCCATTACTGTCACTACAGCAACAACAACTTCAGCAACAACCGCCTACAGTGCAGCCATCACTGGAACATCAGCAGCAACCACAAACCAGTATATCAACACCATTACGGCCACAGCAAACTATGACATTACCAGTAATAATGCCAATACAACAACAGCAACTAACTATCCTAACAATAGGACCTCTCCCATCAATAGCACTGCACAGAAACCTATATATTCCACCAGTATATACAGCTGTTGTTGGTGAGGACATCGCCCTGGGAAAGGCCGACAGTTGCATTATGATGAAAAAAAGAGAACTACGACACATGTAGCTCAATGCAAAGGAGCACAGTCACTTGTATTGAAGATGATGGACGTGCTGTTTACCAGGAACGAAGTAGCAAACTCAAATTTGATTGGCGGCCCAACAAAATGTGGTTCCATGGTGAAGCTACCGGGAATATCATCAACATGCTGCAAATTACAATTTCTCAAACCAACTAACAACACCAGTTAAACTGTCTAGTTTACGACAGGCCATCAAGACACAGCTACCTGAATATTGAAGAATGGACGTTATTTTTTTTTATACTGATTTGTTTTCAAATGTCTGTCCTTGTATTGTATAAAAACCATTTTAAACTTTAAAATTTGTTTATTATTATATGAACTTCTTGTTCAAATTTGATAAAATTGTATACCAATGCGCCATAATTTTGGCTAAAAATTGTCTATTGCTTTGTTATAACTGAATAGACTGAATTTTCAGTCTCCATCAAATATATTGAACTGCATTGTGACTTAATTTTGTGATTTTGTTTATGGAATCAACCCAAAATATTTACAACCCCCTCCAACAATCCCCACTCTAGTAATAACAAAACTGAATGCGAGTGTGCAAGTTTATTTACTAGGTAAATCTCTATTTGGAACATTTAATTTACCCTAAAAAAAAGGGCAGTTTGGTTTGGGGCAGAATAAAATTCTGCAATTTTATGGAATATCCTATTTTCGAGGGTGAAACATTTGGTTATGACTGGTCTTGTCTGTAATTGAGGTGAATGTGTACAATATGCAGTGGTTACACGTGTCGAGATTGAGCTCATGATATTTTTGCACGTGGGCGTTTGGAATTTCTGGTATTGGCGAACTGTTCGCTTCAATGAATGTTTGAAAGTGTCCATCTATTCATTACTGGGAACTGGTGATGGTAACCCATAAGGGAAGAAACCAAAATCAAACTTGGCGGTTTCCTGCCGGA